GCCCTATGATTTGAAACCCTAACCCCAAACCCTCCCAGAGCCTCTCCACGGCCGGCTAGCAGTGTAACGAGTCTTTTCTTTAAGGTGTCCCCGCAAAACGAGTAGTGCCTTGTCGTTCGGGGCTGCGTCAGGAGATTCTCGTTTCGAGAAATACTTAGGTTTGATCATATTTGCATGAGCTATAATTAGTCTGAACTCCTATTATCCCCCTTATTAAGCCCTACAGTAGTCCCCTATGTAACCCCGTTTAAGGAGTTTAGATTACTCACATGAGAGAGTTTGGTTTTATCTCGTGAGAGAAGGCTTGTCACAGCTATGACCTTCAGTCCGACTGCAAAACGGGCGTTTGACGTGCTTGAACTCCAATCCCCAAAGAAAACCTGAAACAGGTACCCTCAGAGAATCTGCGAGTTGAACAGCCTCATTTCGGTCGGTAGTCCATTTCTCTTGGCTTTATATTCTGAAGATTGTGGGGAAAACTCAGGGGATTTTGTTCTGCATACATAGAACCAAAGGCTTTCCACCAGTGGACCCCCACTCGAAAGAGCCAGTTCCCAAGAGTACTTCAAATAGACCTCAAGGACAGTATCATTGAATTTCCATGACTGGCTATGTCTATATACGCATGTTCCCCTGAAGCACACTTTTTGTACGTAAACGACATAGTTTCCACACTTATCTCTTGACATGCATGCATAGACCTGTTTTTTCAATATACCGCAATCCACTAGCATGCGCCCTGATACTTACTCATCCTAATCCCGAAGCAATAACTCTAAATCCAAGCCCTAAACCCGAAGCCCTGAACCCAATCCCTGAACCAAAAATCCCTGAACCAATCCCTAAAACCTAAAGCTCGAACCTTAAGCCCGAAGCCCCAGCCCGCCGGAGCCTTCCTCAGGCCGGCTTCTACCTCTTCACAGCTGCCTATGTTGCGCTGAGACACAACACCAATGTCTGGATAGGCCTTTCGGGTTTTTATCTTGGGGTTATGTTAGGGTTATATTGGGGTTATATTAGGGTTATATTGGGGTTATATTAGGGTTATTAGGGTTTAGGGTTCATGGGCGGCTACAGCCGAAGCACTGTAATCTTGCGACGTTTAGAAGTCCAAATCCTAATGCCTAGACCCTAACACCATCAACACTAAAGTCTTGTTCATGGACGGATTTCTACAGCACCTTGAGTTAACTTAATATGAGCTATAGTCTAAACTCCTAGTATCCCCCTTAATAAGCCCTAAAGTAATCCCCTATATAATCCCCTATATAACCCCCCTTTAAGGAGTTTAGACTATAGCTCATATAACCCGAGACCTGAAATCCTGGGCATGACAATTGCTTGGGGGGTCCAAGAGGGTTTAGGGTTTAGGGTTTAGGGCTTAGGGTGACTTCCTCCAGCATCAAAACTACAGAGTTCCGCCTTGTAGTGGTGGAAGATTTCTTGGAGCCTGGCGACATTCCTCATTGGAGCTCCATGACAAACCTAACCCTCTCTGGTGGAAATCCGATTGCAGTAAATCCGAAACCCTAAAATCTAAACTTAAACCATAGACTCTAAACCCTAAACCCAGGGAACGCATCACAAGCTGAGACGTGCTGACGAGCATGTTAGAGAGTTGATTACAGTTCATTTCAGGACACGAACTGCATGATCAAGCCCAACCCTGAATCCACCAAGGGAGATTACAGGGTTCATAGAGGTACACGATGGGGCTATATGGTAGTTTCCCAAAACAAGGGGACCCAAACCCCAAAATACTATAGTCCTTATTATAGGGACCCCCAAAAAGGGTACCCCTAATTTTAGGAAACCCCCATATAGGAGTATAAAGGGTGTAGAGCTCAGGATCAAGATTATACGGGTTTAGGCTTTAGGGGTAGCAGAGGGGCCATGTAAAGGTTATATGAGCTATAGTCTAAACTCCTTAAAGGGGGTTATATAGGGGATTATATGGGGGATTCCTATAGGGGTTATTAAGGGGGATACTAGGAGTTTAGACTATAGCTCATATAGGGGGTCATACGAGCTATAGTCCAAACTCCTGTTATCCTCCTTAAGTCTTGTCTGCGGCTCAAATTTGTTGCTGCCGTCTCACGGAGACCTTCGCACTGGGGCTGTTCCTGTTCGATTCAGAACTTGTTGTGTGATTATGTTGCATTATCTTGAGGTTTCTGTGCTTAACAAACTTCCTACTGGTATGGTTGGTTGTCTTCGCCAGGACACTTGCTGTTGTTGTCGAATTGCTGCCGCCACTGGTTGCTAGCAGTCTTGTAGTGCTGCTACCGCGGTTGTTTTTGTTTCTAACGTTGTTTTCTCCCTATCGAAACCGCAGAAATCCTGCACACCGCGCCTTACAGAACGGATTACGTGAAGCCCGCAGCACTAGGGACACCATCCCCGCAGAATGCCCGCCCAAAGCAAGAAGAAACAGATACATGTGTGTATGTGTGTATATATATATATAAAAGATTTCGATAAATATGCACACGCGCAGATCTGGCAAAATATACCCCAAAGCCCTATCCAACCACTTGGCCCCTACATTGCTTTATTTCAATGACTGTAAGTTTGTACCCTGAAAGCTTGTAACGTTGCGTTAGGGGTCCAATACTTTAATTCAGGCTTAAATTCCGCGGTTGGGAGGCGCCAAGCCCAAGGATACAAACCCTAAAATCCTCAACCCTAAAACTCTAAACCCTAAACCCTGAGCCCTAAATCCTAAACCCAAACACCCTAAAGCCCTAACCTTAAAACCCTAAACCCTAAAACCCTCATGCCCTAAACCCTAAACCCTAAAGCCCCAAACCCTATAACCTTAAACTCTAAAACCCTGAAGCCCTAAACCCTAAAACCATAAACCCTAAGCCCTAAATGCCTGAAGCCCTAAACCTTCTAAACCCTGAAACCCTGAAACCCTAAACCCTAAACCCTAAACCCTAAACTCCCTGACTCTTTGACAGGCCTAACCTCCCCCGTCCTTCTCTCCCTTTACAAGATGATCAGCATCCACGTCGTCAAGACGGCCGCCTGGCTGTTCCTTGTGGGGAGATGCTTTGGGGGCAGAAGGGTTTAGGGTTTTAGGGTTTAGGGTTTCAGGGGGTTCTGTGGTGGGTAGTAAGAGAACATTGCGATGTGAAAAGGTACACATGCACGCATAGGTGTATCTACCCATGGCAGTACACACAGAAGAAATATATATATATATGTATACATGTATATATGTATATGTATGCCTAGGAATGAACATGTATACATGTTTGCCAAAATGTATATGTATATGTACATGTGCATATCCGCTTACACATGTATTTATCTCTATACCTATACATACGTACACACATACATCCATGCATGCATGCATACATCCCTACATCCCTACATCCCTACATCCATACATGCATACATCCATACATCCATACAGCCATACATCTGCACAACCATCCATCCATCCATCCATCCATCCATGCATGCATGCATTCATACATACATACATACATACATACATACACACAGACACACATACATACATACATACATACAGACAGACAGACAGACAGACAGACAGACAGACAGACTTACAGACAGACAGACAGACAGACAGACAGACAGACAGACAGACATACATACATACATACATACATAGACACGTAGATACATAGATACATAGATACATACATACATACATGCATACATACCTACATACATAGATACGTAGATACATAGATACATACATAGATACA